AACCGATAGACTTTGACTACATTAAACTAGAATACAGAGAGGGCTTCCATAAAAATGACTCTGGGGGGCTGGAGAGATGGCTCAGAGGTTAAGAGCACTGCCTGTTCTTCCAGAGGTCCTGAGTTCAATTCCCAGCAACCACATGGTGGCTCACAACCATCTGTAATGAGATCTGGTGCCCTCTTCTGGCCTGCAGGCATACATGCAGACAGAATACTGCATACATAATAAATAAATAAATTTTTTTTAAAAAAATGACTCTGTCACTCCTCTACAATGGACACTTTCACTGCTGCATCATTAACTGTTAAATAAAGAACCCATAAGTGCCAAGGTGTGTTCTCGGTAAACCTGCTTCTCACAAAAAGAGAGAACCATCTCAGTGAAAGAGAAAGTATGGAGAGGTATTGAATAGCCATCTGTTTGAATGTATTACTTCTCTGTTTTCTGCAATGCCCTCGGCCTGCGTACATCTTAATAGTTGCATGATGACTCTGAGGAAGACCCAGACAGGACTGTGAACTTCATTGCAGGCAGCGTTGTGCTCAGTGTTATGGCAGCTTGCTCAAAGCGGCCCTCTACTAAAGCGCATCTCTTTACAAACAAATTGCCCTCTCACAGTGCATTCTCTTCCAGCTTGGTCCATGAAATAAACATTGCTTTAAGAGTTAACTGCAAGCTCTTTGTGTCACGAGACTTTGTTCCCTTTGCCCTTTATTGCCACAGGCTGTCAGAGCCTGTGCCAGAATCAGCAATACCAAAAAGTGACTTGGCACATTAATCCCTGGGAGAAAAACAATACCCGTTCATATTTTATGGTAAACAAGTGGGCTAATCAAAAATTCATCCACTGCTCACCAGCAAGCTCCTCCGTGCTCTGAGCTGAAGGCACCTCCTTAGCCAGACTGCAAGTGCCCTTCCCATAGGCTCCCAGGCAGAGCCTGCTTCCCTCCATAACATCAGTCCCTGAGCTGGAGTTAAAGGCCTGCTCATCCAGCCTCCACCCAACCTATGAGTCAGTGCCTGCCCATCAATTTACTTTAAGTAGAACCCTGCCATCCACAGCATCTGCCCTGGGTGCTCTTAGAGTAACTGTGAGTGAAGAGCATCCTTTAGCATGGAGAGGCCATCAGAAACCTTTCCAACTTGGGTCCAGCAGAATGATTTTTTGTGAGGGAAGGGGGTGAAAAGAAGAACTCTTCTGCCATCAGTGAGGTAGTGACATGAGAATACACTCTCGGCACTCACAAGTGCATCCATGAAGCAGGCTTCAGGAAGCACCTAGGGCTGGAGAGATGGCTCTGCAGTTAAGAGCACTTGCTGCTCTTCCAGAGGACCCAGGTTCCATTCCCAGCACCCACATGGTGGCTCACAACCATCTGTAACTCCAGTTCCAGGGGAACTAAAGCCCTCTTCTAGTCTCTGTAGGCACTGGGCGATACTCCTATAAAATAAAATAGAAGTGTGCTCCTTGAGCACTCAAAGAAATCTGGAAATTTGCCTGAAGGAGATGGAAACTCCAGATGCAAATGTTGACAACAGGTTCAACAAAGCTGGCTGAGCCACCGGAATAAGAAGCATCCCATACTGTATCCATGGACATTTGTCCAGAAAATTTATTGAGAGGAGATGAGGATTCAGCAAACAAGCTACATCCTTTCTGTGCCAGGTCCAGCCCCAACTTCCTCAGAAGGGTTACACTTCCCATCTAGCTTTGTCCTCTCCTTTAACTGCTTCCTGCTTTCTTTTCATTCCATAGCACTGCATCTGTCTACCAAAGCATGTACACACATTCAAAGGACATTGATGAGGGGCAGGGCTGGAAATAGAGACCTATAGTTTGATGAAAACTCCATATGTTTATACAATGTATTTTGTTCGTCTCTATCCACCACTGTCTCCCTCCAGCGCCCACTAGTGCCCCCACACTGTCACCCTCCTGAGTCCATGTCCTTTCATGTTGTTTCCAGTAACCCCGAGTCTGATTTATGTTGCCCGTAGGTGCAAGCATACGTGGCTATCTACTGGGGTATGGGCTGCCTGTTAACAGTCACATCCCCAGAGTGACTCCCTCCCAGCCCTCAGTGGCTAATAGTTTATCTGCCAAGGATGGGGACGTGGGAGCCTCTCCCCTAGCTGGGATGCTGGCTGGCTTGATCTTGTCAGGCAAGCACAGCTGCTGTGAGCTGGTGTTTGCAACATCATCGCGCCCAGAAGTCAGCATTCCACAACTCCCCTCCCCGATCAGCTCTTATGTTCTACCCCCTCTTCTGCCATGTTCCCTGAGCCCTGAATCAAGGGGTGGTGTTACTTCTTGATGACTTGTTCCAGAAGTGCCCAGCCCAGCCCAGTCCCACCCATAGCATACAGCTTGAGGACACTTTTTGGTGACTGTTCCACAAGTCCCACTGATGAGTTGCTTTCCAGAAGGGAGGTTGTGTTCATCCGTCTGTTTCCGGTACTTCATATATAAATCAGGAATAGGAAGTTTGGAATAAGGGCCACTGCCTTTGGCTACTAGTGCAGGGAATTTTTATATAGCCAAAGAGGTGCAGAGTGAATGTGCCAACATTTGAAACAGGCACAGGTCCCTCATTAGTGCGAAGGCCATGAGAGAGGCAATCCTCCCAGAGCCCTCGATCTCTCTCCTTCATCCCCCACAGGAGTAGTGTTGCTGGCAGTACGAGATGGTTATACGTGGCTTCCCACCCACTCCCTGACTGCCTGTGCACAGCAATGCCCAGGAGGTCATCAGCACACATTCATCCCCAGGGCTTTTCAAGCTGCTGACCTCCATCTGTGTGTGTATATGTATACATGTAGCAGTGAGTACATGTGTGCGCATGTGTGTGCACAAGTATGTGAGGGTAAATGGGTGAGTATGGAGGTGAATTCATGTGTGTGCACACATGCATGTATGCAAATGTGTACACATGTGTGTGGAGGCCAGTCAGCATCAGGTATTTTTTCAATTACTCGCTATCTTAATTTTTTGAGACAGAGTCTCTACTAAACCTGGAGCTTGCTAGTTCATACTGGCTGACCACATGTCCCAGGGAGCCCCCCACCCCCAGTACTGGGACTTTGGGCACACATTCCTGGGCCTGACCCTTTTATATGATGTCTTGGTTTTGGTTTCTGCTGGTGTGATGAAACATCATGAGCAAAGCAACTTGGGAAGGAAAGGGTTTATTTCACCTTATAGCTCTTAATCTACCATCCAGGGAAGTCAGGGCAGGAACTCCGGCAGGAGTATGGAGGCGGGAACTGAAGCAGGGGCCATGGTGGAGTGCTCCATACTGGCCTGCTCCTTGTGGCTTGCTCAGTCTGCTTTCTTACAGCACCCAGAACCACCAACCTGTAGGTGATACCTTTCACAGTGATCTGGGCCCTCCCACATCAATTATCAATCAATAAAATGTACCACAAGCTTGCCTGAAGGCCAATCTGGTAGGGGCATTTTCTCAATTTTCTCATGCCTCATCGAGAGGCTGTGAGACACAGGAGCACACCTCTGGGGTATGTAGCTAGAAGGACAGTCCCCATCAAGAGGCTGTGAGACACAGGAGCATACCACTGGGGTATGTAGCTAGAAGGACATGCTGCCTCTCACAGCGGGTGCCAGGACAGGGGACATGGGAGGGTACAGACCCTGTAGACACTGTGCCCAGATCCACTGGGCCTGCAGGCTGGGGAGCAGATGGCATGAACAGAAGTGGCCTTGTTTTAGAAATCTCAGAACACAGAAGGTTAAAATCATGCGAGTTGCTTGTGTCTAGAAATGCCTCCTGTTTGAATGTAGATGTGATGTATTCCTTACCCACAAGGCCTTCAGAGGTTCCCAGGACTGTGTGGGGCAGTTCCAGGGCCCCTCTCACCCCTACCCAGTGAGCCAGACCTTCTGTTTGGAGGCTGTGTGCTCGATCTGTGTATCAGTTCAATGACTAAAAACTGATCAGCAGGTCGATTTGGGGAATGAGCAACAATCAGCCGTTGGGTTTCCTGGTTAAGGGAGGCCTGGCTCCAAGTGCCCATTTATTCAGGCCTTTCTGCCACTTCCAGTTCACCAGGGGTGCCTGGTGAGTGTGCCACTGTTGCCTGTGATAAGAGATCTGGTAAGAACACAGAGTGTTCATCCTCAACAGCAGATCTCATTATAGAGGACGGGCAGGCGGCTGAACATGTTAGTGGCTTCTAGAACATTCTAGGAAGTCACCTGAGGATACCTATTTGGGGCACTTACTTTCTTAACATTTTCTTCTTCCTTTTTGATGAAAAGTGGGGCACTCCAGCTTTGGAGAGTCCTGAGCGATAGAATTCGTCAGCACAAGCCTCCCACCCCACCCCACCCCCACCCCCAATATTAACATCAGGCCACTCTGAGCATAGTGCTATTTTCAGGTTTGGGTAAAATCCAGCATGTGACATCAAACCAAGTTCACCGAAGCCCAGGGCCAGAGCCATTGTCCCTAACCCTGGCTACCTTTTCCTTAAAGAGTGAAGAAAAGAACCGAACCCTCAATAGCCCAGCCTCAGAGCCTCTGAAGCTTAACCCTCGGAGGATCCCCTGCACTGCCCCTCACTCAAGGCCCCTGCTCCCTCACTCTCAATACTCACCCCTGACTCTCTGCCAGGTCCTTCTTCACCCCACCTACCCAATGCATCAGCTTGTGTAGAGTTGTGCCTTTTGTAGGCCTGTGATGTGAAACTGAAGTCAGTAGAGCCCCAGGGAGAGCATGGGACACCCCCCTCAAAACTGGTGGGGCGCTCCAGTGTCCCCATCTTCAGTTTCAGGGCCCCGCTGGTAAGGGCAGGTGCTGAGGGTTAACTGACCACCCTGACACTCAGCTTTCCATAAGGAGCTTGGACCCACATGTGTTCTTGGATGACCCTGTTTCAGAACCCCACACCTACCCTCACTGGCTGCTGAATCCAGAAGTGGAGTGTGACCAGATCCTGGTGTCCATTGCCCCTGCTCACACTCTTGTTTGTATTTTCAGGGAGTATTACATCACCATGGTGAAGTGGGCCACCAGCACCAAGGTTGCGGTGACCTGGCTGAACCGGGCCCAGAATGTGTCCATCCTGACCCTCTGTGATGCCACCACAGGTGTCTGCACTAAGGTACGGGGATAGAGGAGGGGGTGGAGGAGTGGCCACAGCATGGAAGGTAATACCCAATCACTTGGAGCCCCTTGGGCTGGAGAAATGAGAAACCCTGCTGAACCCTGTCATTGATGCTATGTCCAGCCTCTGGTTTGGTGCCACCTGGTGGACAAGTCAGATATTGCTACAAAATCCCTGAGCATATCAGAGCAGCAGCCTTGGGGGTCCTCACAGGCAAGGGGCTGTTTCCCTTCACACTGGCCACTGCTGTGCTAGGAACACTACTCTCCTCATTCTCTGTTTCTCAAAGGAGGAGGGGACTGGCCCAAGACTTGATCCAGCTACAAGTACTCAGCCCAAGCATACCCTCCCCTGTCCAACACCCCAGAGTCAGGTGCCCTAGCTCAGGTAAGGCAGGTCTAGGCAGACCAGCAGTATGTCTAGGAGCAAAAGGCAGCCCAGGGTACCTTTACCTCCTGGCCAGAGCAGCAGACTCTCCTTTCTGTTGCTGAGCCATAGCCCTAAGAAAGTCACCTCACATTGAATTTAAAAGACCAAGTGAGACTCCAGGCAGATCTTCCAGAAACGGTTTTGACCCTACGCTTCTATTTTTCTAGCAAGAAACACCAGTCTTTGGTAGGTTCACTTAGACCTATGGGCTCTACCAGGCAGCTCTCAGCACACTGCCGAGGGGCAGGGGCGTCTCTAGGAGGTCACAGTGAGCTGTCCCTGCCTCTGACACCTCATTGGGTCAATGTTTCCTCTGGGTGGTTCTGATGGGCTTGCTGGAGGAGAAGGTGAGCGAGGCAGGGCTCAGGGCTGGACATCTGTGCTGAATGTCCACCTCTTCTGTGCCTGTCCTGATATGCCCACCGTGAATAAGGAGTGGCCACTCCCAGTGCCACAGGCGGTGAAGACCAAGCACCATGCTGGTGGCCCCTCAGGTGACAGCAACTGAGAGGAGCAGTCATCTGGTGCTTGGGCATGATGTGTTTGTATGTCTTTGCACACAGCTCTGGAGAGCAACTTTCATACATGCTATGACCCCTTTTACCTGGCTTGGTTTCCCATGATTGTTTCTTGGAACTGTAAACTGGAATTTTGATTCACAGTGTCCACTAGCACACACACACACACACGCGTGCGTACACACACACTCACACACACACACACACACACACACACACACACACACACCGGTTCCAAACAGTGCAGCACCTGAGGCTTGCCCCTAAAGGGACACCCTGACCAGTGGTGATAGCCATGTAGAAACACGCCCAGCTAGTGTGGCTGCCAAATGGGCACAGACTGGCCAATGGTGACCAGTGACCACCAAGTGTTAGAAATGCCATCAGCTTCCGCAGGGCTGCTCACTGCTTGTTAAGGGCAGTGGCATTTTTCTTGCCCGAGGACACTTGTGCTAGCATGTGAGCCACAATATGGGACACAGAGAAGAACAGGGATTACCTCTCCACTGAGAGGCCCCCGTGGCCACTCTGTGCGAGTGAGCGCAGTTACCATGTAGATGAAATTAAATCATTCTCTGTACAGTGCATGCAAACAAACAGAAGTCCCTTTCTAATGCTCCAATTCCGTTTCAGAAACACGAGGATGAAAGCGAAGCTTGGCTCCACAGACAGGTAACTCCACACGCCAGTCCCCGTGTTCCCATCACCCCAACCCCCTAGCCCAGTGGTTCTCAACCTTCCTAATGCTGTGACCCTTTAATACAGTTCCTCAGGTTGTGGTGATTCCCAACCATATAATTATTTTCATTGCTATTCTGTAACTTTAATTTTGCTATTATAAATCATAAAGTAATTATCTGTGTTTTCCCGTGCTCTTAGATTACATCTGTGAAAGCCCCTAAAGGGATTGTGACCCACAGGTTGAGAACCACTGCCCTAACCCTTCACAGGGGTGGGTACCATGGTTTTCATGTACGGGAGTCGCTTGGGAATCCAAGTATATGTGCTGTTGTGATTGGGGCAGTGTGTGTACAGCTGCCTCTTCATCCTCCCGGGATACTTGGCAGACAGTGCTGTAGAAGCCAAGTTCCCTAGGTGGTAGTTTGGAAGTCGTTGCCCATCAGGACAGTGATGGGAAGGAGCTCAGCTCCCATTCAGATGATGTAGTTGGCGAGCTCAAAATAGTGAGCCCTGAAAATTGCCCAGATGTGGTCTGCAATGGAAGGCAGGTGAAAATGTGGTTGGTACTCCCATTTATTCATAGGCATGGTTTTATAGATCTCTCAGTGAGAAGTCTCCTTAGAAACTTGACCCCAGAATCATCCCTGGGATTTTTTTCGCCATCCATAACTCAGAAAGGCACCTCAGAGCAGGCTCTGGAGGCTGGAGACTAAAAGAAGTTGGGGGTTTGAGGTGTGGCTTGCTGGTGCCACACTTACACAATGTGCCTGAGACTCTTGGTCTAGTCCCCAGCACTGAAAAGCAGAAATCAGTCAAAGGGGGTCAGCAGGGGCTGGTGGGTAAAATGTATACTGCCCTTGGCGAGGACAGAGTTCATACCACAGCCCCAAAGCTGAGTGGCTCAAAACTGCCTGTAACTCAGCTCAGTGGTCAGATGCCCTCTTCCGACCTCCAAGAGCCCTCACACTCTTATGCACATACACACAAATACACATAATTTTTAATTCAAATAAATCCTTAAAAATAAGAGATACCGGAGGAGCCTAGGCAAACCACCCTGTGATACATGTTTTTTAAATAACATACCCAGAGAGTGACCCCTAGCGCCAGTAATTTCTCTTGATTCTTTTGTCTCGTGCCTCACTCTTGCGTTAGAAAGAATGGACAACATTCAGAGAATTTCTTATTTAGTCCACCAGAGGCAATAAAGTTATCTTCAAATCCTGTTAGAAAAATCAAAACAGATTTGTATCCAAAGAATCATTGCAGAGAAGGCTAGGGATGTAGCTCAGTGGTAGAGCCCTTGCTTACCGTGTACAAAGCCCCAGGCTCCATTCACAACAAAGACTATAAAGGAATCATGACTAAGGAACACAGGTGTGTGTTTTTATTGACATGGAGAGTCCATTTGTTGAAAATCCAATTGTCAGCAATAGCTCCTGTGTTGGTTCCTTTCCTGTGGCTGTGATAAAACACAAGGCCCAAAACCAACTTAAGAGTGAAAGAGTTTATTTTGGCTTAGGATTACAGAGGGCCAAGGGCCCATCATGGTGAGAGGCAGGACAGCAAGGGGAAGACATGTGGCAGGGACAGGAAGCTGAGAGCTCACATCTTCAAGCACAGACCCAAAGCAGAGGAAGCAAACTGGAAGTAGGGAGAGGCTATGAACTTTCAAAGCCTGCCCCCAGTGACATACTTCCCCCAGCTGCACCACCTCCCCAAACACCACCTCCAACTGAGGACCTCCTGCTCAGACACTTAAACCTCGATGGGGCATTTGTCATCCAAACCTCTGCAGCACCCGGGCGTACTCTGGAACTCTGATGACCACACATCTTTTGTTACTTATCAGAGTAAGAGCCTCGCAAATGCACAGTTACTTCCATACATACCTTTTCTCAGCTCAAGGCCAATCTTATCCAAAAGAGGAATGGCTCAGTGGACTCACTTTATTCCCCTTTTTCCAAGTTTGGATACCAAGTCCAAGCCGAGAGGTTATCAAGAGAGAAGACTCAGGCACCCCGAGATACAAGCATGCCCAGAGTTCTTCATCCCACCTGGACTATGAGTATCTAAAGTGTTATTTATATGCTCATCTTATACCAGGTAAAATGCCAGATAGGAAAAATATAATCATTCTTAAATCTCTCATCTATATTATTGTCTATGTTAAACTGCTACCTAATTGCATCCAGTACCATACTAGACTCTGTAAGTTTTAAAAATTATTACCGTCAAAGACATATATGATAAGTCCACAACTAACATGAAACTCAACTGTGACAAATGAGAAAGCCTTCCTGTTGTGTGACACTGTTCCTGGGGAGATAAACATCTACTCACCCCAGATAAGGAACCGATGCCAGACCAAAGTAAGGATGCCACCCGAGTCCAACTTGGTAAACCAAGGAGCTTCAGTGGTCTTACTCACAAGTCAGCGGGTGAGGGGATGCTCACAAAAGCAAAACTAATTCAAAGACAGCTGCTTCAACAAAAGCCCACCCCAGCATGGATGACAGATCACAAAAGCTGGAAACCTGGAGCTCACTGTGCAACCTACAGACGTCTCAACAGCTTGGAGATTGCCTTTCCCAGGTAACTCAGTTGGCCTGAGTCACTCCCAAGTGGCTTGGCCATTCTTATAGCTGCTATAGTCTTGAGAAAGGCAGGACCGAGTAACCCTGGTCAGCTTCAGGGACTTCCTGAGACTATTGAGTTGTTTATTTCCTGAGTGTCCCTGAGGGATGAAATGTTTCACCCCCCCCCTTAGATTGACCTCTCTTTTAACATCTGTATATTAATGAGCTTCCTTCCATGACAGAAAGTTTTAATCATGGAGGAAACTGCTACAGAAAACGTCCCTTTAAATGAGGTGCAAAGCAAGGTTTACTCTCTCATGGCTTCTATTCATCATGGAGCTGAAAGTCCCAGGCAGAATAACTAGACAAGAAAGAGCAATGAAAGGTGTCCACAATGAAAGGAAGGAATAAAATTATCCCTGTTTTCAAAAAGGAGAATATTAAATTGTTTCTGTTTTCAGATGGCACAATCTTTAGTAAATCCTAAAGATTTACTACACACACACACATATATGTGATATATATATATATATACATATATATATATATTAATATTAGAATAAAGACAGTAAATGTACAGAGTACATAATCAATGTATAAAAATCAGTAACATTTCTTCAGCAGGATTTCCTGAACTCAGCCTAATGTTTGGCTGTGGGTCTCTGCATCTGTTTCTACTAGCCTTTGGATGAAACATCTCTGATGACTATTAGGCTAGGCACCAATCTATGAGCATAGCAGAATACCATTAGGCATCATTACATTGACTTTTTTCCTCCAGTAGTGTTTGATTCTATCCTAAATCACTGGGCCATCCAGCATCTGGGTCCTGGCACTGCAGACATTGTCGGGTATGGGCTCACTTCTCTGGCATGGGTCTCAGGCTGGACCAGTCATTGGTTGGCCACTCCCACAATCTCTGTGCCACTCTTAACCCATGACATCCCCTAGGCAGAACAGACCGTGGGTCCAATGTTCTGTGGCTGGATTGGTGTCCTAATCCCTTCACTGGAAGTCTTGCCTGATCACAGGAGATGACCAGTTCTGTGAATCCTGCTGAAGAAAGGAAGGAAGGATGGTAGGAACCAGAGGGGTGAAGGAAACCACAAGAAAATTCACAAAATTAACTAACTTGGGCTCATAGGAGCTCACAGAGACTAAACCAACAACCAGGGAGCATGCATGGGACTGACCTAGGCCCTCTGCACATATGTGACAATTGTGTAGCTTGGTCTTCTTGAAGGACTCCTAACAGTGGGAGCAGGGACTGTCTCTGACTCTTTTACTGGCTTTTGGGAGCCTCTTTGGGTCATTTGAGACATAAATGACCAACAGATACTTGAAAAATACTTGACATCACTAAGAGAAACACAGGTTGAAATCACAAAGTGAAATAACCTTACAGCTGATAGAATATTATCAAAAAAGACAAAAGATGTGTATTAGAGAGAATATGGAAATACAGGGAACCTTGACACCCTGTTGGCAAGAATGTAATTCAGGAAAGTCTCTGTGGAAGACATCATGGAGGTTCCTCAAACATCCCATTACTGGGTGTATATCCAAAGGAAACGAAATAAGAATACTGAAATTACTCCTGTGTCACTGCATCACAGTTACAACAGCCAAGATGACCTGATTGTCCAGCAAGAGACAGAAGGCAAAGAAGATATGAGATGTAAGAAGGAAACGTGAATGAAACTAGAGGATACTGCGATAAGTGGCAGAAGCCAGGCACAGAAGGATGAACACTACATGCATCAGTTATTCATCACATTGCTGCATAAAATACCTGACCGATAAACTCAAGGAAGGAAGAGTTTATTTGGGCTCAGGGTTTGAAGTGATACAATCCACCATGTCAGGGAGTCATGGCAGCAGGAGTGTAGGGCAGCTAGTCACATGACTGTATCCACAGTCAGGAAGCAGAGAGATGAATGCGGTACTCAGTGGGCTTCCTCCTTTCTCTCTCTCTATTCATTCTGAGAACCCAGGCCACAGATGGTGTCACTCATAGAGAGTCTTCCAGCAGTTAATCCTGTTGGGAAACACCTCACACAAACCCCAAGTTGCACCTCACCAATGTTCTAGGTGGTTCTTAACCCAGTAAAGTTGGCAATCAAATTAACCACCATTAACTGCATGTTCTCATTCAAAGGACAGAATAGGTGGTTATTGGGAATGGATGATGCTGGGGGAATGTTGGCTGGTGTCAATTTGTTTTCAGGAAAAATCGGCTCAGGCAATTCTAATGCACAGCCTGGTTCAATCATTAAAGTGCTGTATTCTTTACATTTACACAGGGCTAGAGAGATGGCTCAGTGGTAAGAGTACTGGTTGCTCTAGCAGAGGACCCAGGTTTGATTCCCAGCACCCACATGGCAGCTCACCAGCCATCTGTAACTCCAGTTC